TTCTTTATGATTTGACGGAGGTTTCCTAAAATCTTCGATCTACATTACGCACCTGTTAATTTGTGGAAAATAAGTAATTTAGCGCGGTTTGAAACACTGGAAAAAAACACATTTGATCTAGAGTCCTGACTCTTGAAAACATTGACAAGAAAAAGGACTCTTGATTCGATTAGATTTAAGCTTAAATTAAAAGGAAATCCGCTCAAATTAAGAGGCTTGGTTCTTGATTTAAGCTTAAATCTGATTTAATCAAGAGTATTTTTTCTTGTCAATGTTTTTAACGGTCTGGACTCTAGATCCAATGTTTTTTTTGTTTTTTTTTTTTTTCTTTCCAGTGAACCTCCAGTGCAACTAAGTCCCTCTAATCATCAACTTTTTAATCGATTAAAAAGTGGATATCAGAAACTCGCGGTGATCGCCATCAAATGTTGCAAGAAACCTTACTTTTGTTAATTTAAAAGGTGAAAAGTACAATGAATATTAGTCTAGAGCCGCAGAAGTAAATGCAGCCCCTATAAATGAAGGAAAACTTACCGCTGACAGAAGAGAACGCAAGGACTTGATAATTTTTTGGCCTTCATTTTCCACTTCATATCCTGTAACCAAAGGAACAGAAATTACTGAAGATATGCAAATCAAATACGGAGCTCTTAGCCAATTTTTACTACAATGATATGCGAACTCAGCCATGCTTTAATGAAAAACAATGTGCAAGAGGATGTTTAGATTTATCAAAATTACCTTAACATGGTACCTACTGAATATACTTAGCATGCCATATATGTATGAGAGACTCTTTTTTTAAAAAAATTTCGAGGGTCCTCCTCTAGAGCCTCTTTTAGTTTATAGAACGTCCTTAAGATCTCCCTTCCTCTTTCCTCATAGGACGTCCAATTCAATCTCGTACTCAGTAAAAACAAATGAGAAAATTTTTCAATGCAACTCGACAACTTCGAAGGTGACCACGCGCGTTCCGTCGTGGTGCGAAATAGTGACACACCTTTTTCCTTCTTTGGTGATTTCGATGCCTAGTGAATTTAGTACGTCCGTTAAATCGCGTCTATTTTTTTCCATCTTTCGTCATCCGATGTGAGGAGCAAGAAATCAATCCTTCAGTTACCTGGGCGTATATGTGCCAAACGGATCAGCTATTGGGCGTATTTCTGCCAAACGGAACTAGGTATGTGCATTATGACGTGAGCCCTGCTATGCATGTATTCTTTGGGGTCTCAGGGCTTACGTATTAATACACATGGTTCCATTTGGCAGAAATACGTCCATTCAGAGTATGCATTAGTCGTGTTGGCTTGCTCGCCGGGGGCACAAGCCCCTCGACTAGCGGGCTGATTATTGAAGTTGATAGATAAAGCTATAGACAAAGAAGACATAGGGGGTATGGAACGATCCCAGGGTCGGACTGGCTCGCATGTGAGGGCGTAGACCCTTGGCTGGTTAAAGGGGCGTAATGTGAAATTTCCTGGTAGGGCATTCCCTATGTGGAGAGGGGTTCAGAAAATTTTGGCAAATCAGCACAAGTTTAAGCTGTTTTCAGGTTCAAAGTTTATTGATTGCATTCACGAAGTAAAAATTGCAAAATTGAACATGACGCACAGCATTGAGAGCTCACGCTTCTCGTCATCGCGCCTTCAAATTTTCAGATGCAGCACGGACGTCCATCAAGTACGAATAGTTGTATCTCTGCGCCGTCGTAAACACGCATCCTTTCCCTCCCTCTTTTTCCATATTGTGTTTGTTTCCGTTTGTCTTGTTCGTAATGGTGCTTCAAGCACTACGTGAGTAATACAGCCGAAGGTAGAGGAGATGTTTTCAGGCCTTTTTATAACTTTTCTCCCGAATCAGAGCGACGTTTCATTGACAGCATAAAGCAGAGCATTGAGAGCTCACGGTTCTCGTCATCGCGCCTTCAATTTTTCAGATGCAGCACGGACGTCCATCAAGTACGAATAGTTGTATCTCTGCGCCGTCGTTAACGCACATTCTTTCCCCCGCTTTATTTCCATATTGTGTTTGTTTCCGTTTGTCTTTATTTGTAATGTTGCTTCAAACTAGAGCAGAGCATTGCGAGTTCACGACTCACGGCATCGCGTCTTACATTTTTCAAATGCAACGTGGACATCCATCTTGCGCGAATGGTTGTATCGCGTTTACATTTTGGATGTCTCTTGTTTTTGAGTTTCGAGATAAATTAACGTTAAGTTTGCCCGAGCTATGCTATGGTATGTCCAAATCAGTAGTCATTTGAAAAGGAGGAAATATGTTTAAAGGTCTCTCAAGAGGTCCATAAAGGATGCGTATGTCTAAAATCGAACCGACCATCGCCTCTAAGGGAGTTACACATAGCGAATGAAGGAGGGGGATTATAAAGCGCCTGTATGTCGAGAAGAAGGTGAAAATTTCACAGAAAATTGTTTACGCTTCGGAAAGTAGTTCTTGGACCTCTTTTTACCACTATCATGCGTTAGAGAACGTTTCTTTACTCCTAACTCTCTCTTCTTCCGTTCATTTAAGAATTTTTTCTCACGTATTCTCGGTCGTAATTTTTTTTCCCCTTCTCATTTTGCTATCTGTAAGAAGGTTGCGTTTTCGGCGCGCAAAGGGGGCGTATCTGCCAATGGCAGATTGGCCTATGGCCAGTCCGAGCCTGAACGATCCTATTGGTTGAAACTGGTGATTTCTAAAGACTAAGGGAGAAAATGATGGACTAACAATAGGATCCCTCCTGGCTTGCCTCAAAATCACTTTTTGACGCTTAATAATAGGATTTTGGTGATTTTTGGTGGATTTGGCTTTGACTTAAAGTCAGTTCTTGGAATTATGGAAACGTTGCTTTGCTATCGTTTTTTTTTTTAAACTTGACGACAGCAAAATGACGCTTGTTTAACTAAAAAACCTGACTTCAAGTTTTTGCACGAATTTAACTTTGAAGGAGAGAAAAAAAAACTGTTAATAAATAATATCTCAAGAAAATTTCATTTCAGTCATGGTTGCGTTCCAGTCCTAAGAAGGGGAAAAATATGGGTACGTATGACTGATATGTACAGGATACCTACATTTTTTCCCGGTTTTTTGGCGATCGCATGTGTTTATTTCATTTTTCCAGACGGAGAGAAGAGATTCACTCTCAACGAGACGAATTTGCAAGAGAAAACAGTCATTTCCGCTCCGACTCGGGATCGTTTGATGTAAAATATACTTTGCATAACGTATGACGCAGTTGACGTAGCGGATCCGAAACATTTATCTTGTCGCTCAACCACCAAGATAGAACCAAGGGCCGGGTCACTTCTGAGGGAGCTGGCATCAATGGATCGCTTTTCGAAAACGTAGGATTGCCAAGTTACTTTTCAATCTTTTCACCCTTTTAGGGGGCCGTTCAAGCGTCACGTAACGCACGTTGAGGGAAGAAGGGGTTTAGGAGGGAGGTTCAATAAGAAGGGAGGGGGTTCAAGCCCCGAGTTACATAACAAATCCGAGCCGGCAGGAGAAAAATTTTTAAAAAACGTGCAAAAATTGAAAATCCCACCCTTCCCGAATGAATCTATTCGGCGCGTGACCCACCTGATTTCTCAGCGTTTAATTGATTATTTTTACCATGAGCGGGAGGAGTCTGGCTAGTGTTTCGTAGGTCAAAAAAAGGAATGTAGCGCTGATTGAAGGGGGAGTCAAAAAATCGGGGGAAAAGTGTTACGTACAGCCCCTTCGAACCGGCCGCGGTGCGCAGCGGGTCGAATTGTTGAATCGTTACAAACTGATCTTGGTCGGTACGTCCCTCTCTCAGCAATGCTATTTATCGATTGAGGTCGTTGGATAACGATTCAACAATCCAGATGCTAGGATTGAACAACATTTTTTAGTTAATCGCGAAACAAACTACACCGCAACAAGATGTGCTATGACCTGTGTGAATCACAGAAAAAATTCCCTGGCCTTGCTGAAGAGAATTCTTGCAAGTGTCCATTTAACCGTTTTTCCGTTTCTCAATGTCAGGAATTCTAGTTGCCATGGTCAGAAAGTGGCGATGACGATGTTTCGCCTCTTGGATTATACCACGTTTGTATAAAACCTACAATGAAAGCTATTTTCATATTGGTCCTTTCAATCCACCGCTACAATTTTTTTTTGCCTTCAATGTGAATATCATTTGCTAATCTGGGAGAAATGGAAAGTAACGTAAGTTGATACTTGGGAAAGTTACCTAAAACTTTATAATGCTCCTGTTACTATCTTTTAAAATATTTGTATTGTTTCTTCCTTATCCCCCCAGCCCCCTTTTTCTTCATGGCCAAAATAAAGGTCGTATGATAAGATAGGAAATGAGGCCAGGGATCGATATAGGGCACTTACAAGTACATTCTACGACGTTTTCCGGCCGATTGTTGAAGCTTTGTCGTAGTCCGTAACTAAAATATATAGTTCCAGTATAGAACTAATCTGAACTTGGTAGTTAAATGATCAGTCCGTTGTACGACAAAATTTTTACGTTGAGTCTTTCGTCGGCTGAATTGGTTATTTTCGAGAAGGCTGCCTCTAGCTGGTCGATCTGTGGTCCGACATGCAGTGGCATCGCAAGGAAATCCTGTGATATAATCGACCAATCGCATAATTTCATTTAAGCCTCGTCTTTTCGTGTTCTATCGAATCGACTGAGATATTGACCGATCGGTCTATATACTTTAGCAGAGTTAGGAGAGTCCAAAAGGTCATGACACCCTTACACTTACACTCCTTCCGTGACCGAATAAACTGTCCTCATTAACAAAGCATTTTTTTTTTTATTTTTTGGACATTTTTATCTTCATCGTCTCATAAAATGTTTTGGATAATCGAATTCAAAGACCCCCACTTATAAAATAGGTACGTCTTGGGTCTCAGACTGGAGACAAAAAACTGGTAACTTTTTATTTTTCAATTTCATTAAAGCGGGCAACAGCGCCTAACGTTTAAGGAGAATATATGACGCGCGTAACAGCTGATCTAACGGCGGCCAAGCCAAAATAAATAAGTGACCGAGTCATATTTTCCAAATTCCCGTAATTCCCTCCTTCTAAATTTCAAGTTGAAAAGTGAAATAAAAAGCGGCGTTTTCTCTCCAAATCTGTTTATTTACCCTTCGTCCAGTTCGAATCTCTTCGAATGTTACCAAAAAGACGCGAATTTTGTTGGAGTGCTTATCGACTATACCAGCCGCGTGCTTTAATTTGAGGTTAAGCTCATCTTCGATGACCGGAAATGGATGGGGGTAATTAAAATTTTAACCGTTACTCTTATACGTAGTGTCCTTGTGCTTTTGTTTTTAGTCAACTGAATACATATATTGTAGATTGTTGTTAAAATACCAATAAAAAAAAAAAAAAAAAAAAAAAAAAAAAAAAAAAAAAAAAAAAATTGTGTTCAACCATAACTTTATATAATAAAAATATTTATATTTTACATGTTATATAATATTTTATATAATAAAAATTTTCACGTACTGAGCCATTTAAAAAATAATCTTTGCGCGTACCTACTGCCTTTTGGGAAGAATCAAATAGGTGGCAGACTGGCTTCATTTGATTGAGTGAATTGATATTCTGGTACATTCCTTTAACCCTTTCCTCAAATGGTGATGAGTGATTTGAAGAGAGTGTTTCAAACAAAGAGGTAGTCCAGAGTATGGTTGTGCTCATATTATTCTGTTTTAATGGATTTCGAAGTACTGCATTCAGAAAGTCTCTTTTTGGTGTAAAATATTTTGACTACGATAATTTTCTCCCTCTTTTTCATACCTAGACGGCTAAAACTGCTAGTTGAAGAGAAAAAAAAGTGAACATCTTGAACCACTGGAAAGGAGGTAAAATTTAAAAAAGGTCAATGACTTTTTCTGCATGTACGCTAGGAGAGAACGTCTTCCCTTTATGTTTAAAATGACGACTTGAACATAAAAACCGAGCTAGTTCCAAAATCTGCGGCAGGGGCAAAAAGGGCGTCCCCGCAAGGAATATATCTCGGCCCTCAAATGCACCACGAGAGGCCCTACACCCCACCAACTAAGCGTATAATTTTGCTCCTCTATCGTAAAATTTTGCCCCCTCCCCCACCTCACAGTAGATCGAGTCAGTTAGAGAGGTCAAACATGACATTTTTAACTACACCTGCAAAATTTGATGTTTATTTCGGTACATTTTAAAATTCAAAATGTGCTTCTAAAAGGAAATTTCACGAGGAAATCAATGAAGCCACTTTTAGAACCTCAAAGTCTTGTATAAACGGAGTTTTAAGAGTTTGAAGTTTTCAAATTTTGTCCGACCTCTCCTATTGACGCGATCCACCGTGCGCCTACACTCTTAGTCCTGTTTACAGCCGTAAAATCACTGTCGGGGACTTGTAATTTTTCTCTAAATTCATTACAGATCTCGTGCGGGCATTATTCACTCACAATGCATCCTAAACAGAGTCTGTGTTCTGTCTGAGGAGCGTCACTCATCACGAGCAGTCTGCTCGCCAAAATTCGCAGATTTTCCAGATTGCGCCGCCGCCCCCACCTCTCAGCGCATGAAAAACGCAGTGAGTCATACCTGTGCTAAAATAAAACGCTGGTTCGCGAGTGACCTCTGAGCCTTTTTTTGTGCGCCTGCTTATTACTGGCATGTGCGGTAACTGAGGGAATTTCTCCGATCATTCTGAATATCCAGGGCTAAACGAACAAAACCGCTTAACTTACAATTTTAGCAAAAACGAGTTAGCAAATTTGACGCATGCTACAGTGTAAAATGCGCTAGTTGATGATTTTAGTTTTCCCCAATTCTGTATAGGAGCGCTGCAATGACGCTGTGATGTATGAAAAAATTGCAAATCTGGACTACAAATTACAGAAATGGCGAAGTTTTCTCTTCATTCTGCGAAATCTCCAATTTGTAGATAAGCGGTATTGCTCGTTAGCCATCGATATGTAATCGCTAGTCGAAGTTTGGACCGCACGTATCTCCAATTTCGTTTGTAAATGTTCGTTTAAATTTCACTTTTTTTTCTGTTTTTTTTTTTTGGAGGAAAAACAAGGCATTTTTATAGCTTAAACTTAATGTAGATTATTCTGCCGACAGAGGAAAAAAGTCTTGAAAGTTTTCGAGAAATTACGCTAACTATAGCTTTCCGTCCGAGGGGTATTTCATACCCCTCAGACTCCCCAATGGTAGGGGGCCAGGTCCCCCCTAGCAAAATGACCCACGTGCACCTATGTTGGCTTTAATACTAAGCATCCGTATTTTCTCAGAATCCCTTCGGATCCCGGATCCCAATCGGAACAAGCTCTCTGTCATGGGGCCGTAAGCCCGCGAATGTGGGAGCCGGGCTCGAAACGGGAGACAGTGGAGCGTCTTCCGATGGAGGGTGATGATTGGTGCTGAGGAGCACTCGAAAATCACTCCCGGGGAGAAGCGATCAATCTTGTCGGCGGAAGAGAGGACCCGTAATTGCGCGATGGCCAGTGCAAGGGTGACAATGACGACTACCCCGGCAAAAAGGGCCATTTGTCATGCCGCAAGATGACTCTGATGACAGCTTGGCACTTGGACTCGTCCTCCCGCCAGCGACTCCACTGACCGATTCTCTTTGAAGCCCCCCCGAAAATTCCTCCCATGGCCAACGTAGGCTTCGTCGTCGAGATGTCCATCTTCTACGTTTACTCTCTCGTGAGTAAGAAATTCCAATTTTACGATCATAAGATGTGCTGGTTACACGCTCAAATTACCATCGATTTCCGATCAAACGGTGATTGGTGCGCACCATCTATACCATCAAATTTCTGCGGCCTGCAAAAATTTGATGGTAGATGATGGAACTTTGGGGCTCATCCTTCATCTGATTTCCACACAACCGTGCTTATTTCATGCTTATTTCAATCAACACGCTGTTTTAATTAATTTTACTCATCAATCTGGATAACTCTCGACCGCCATCTTGGTCATCGTTTTGATCGGTATTTGACGGAAATTTGAGCGTGTAAGCAGGCCATAAAGCAATCCATATAGAGTGTCTACAGTTAAAACGCCAAATTTCATTTGATAAAACACGAATTGCCTGGTAAACTTATGGATACTTTTCTTCTAATTTTTCGGATAATTTTGTTCGCAATTTCACCTAAAGCTCTTTCTCAGGGGAAAACATTCATTGTGGGAAATTTGTGTGTTACGTAAATTTAATTTTCCAACAAACTTAACGAGAATGTTGAAGCAGGAAATTACTGGGAGCAAACATTATTAGTATTATTGATAGTATATTACTTATGTTTCAGGCAATGGCATTCACGGAGGAAACCCCGACCAACCTCAAACCAAACCTTATGAAGGTTTATGAGCTGGAGTCAACAAACATTCTTTTGAGTATAACAAAAAGTGGTGAGTAAGCCGCGCTTTCTCTAAATAATCTCGAGGGTATTAGACGAGAATGGGGTGAGCCTCACATTACTAGAATCGTAGCCATCAGACATGCTTTTTCAAACAGCAACTAAAAGTTTCCTAATTCGAGACTTTAATTGAAGGGATGGTGTTTTTCTCCGTTTTATTATTCTTCTTTTTTTGTTGAAAGTGAACGGTTACGATGCATCATTCCGCAAAAAAATCTGCTTCAATTTTGGGACTCTGGTGACATTTCAAAACATGGTTGTGTTCGAACAATCTTAAGAGCATGAAGATTTAACTTTAAATCTATAAATATTTTATGATTTTTAATATGATTTCACAAATCATTTATTTCTAACATGGTTTTTTTGTTAATTTCTTCAAAATTTTAGTGGTTGGCTTGTCTATGTTCCTGCGAGGGGCAACTGTCTACTTTTACATCGGGACTTTAGCTTGCATGTTCATCCCTATCATAACCGTGAGTCCTTATCCTTCCCTTATTTTAAATTTTCTGTTTGCCATAAGCTTGCCTTCAACAGTTAATCAGGTCTTCGATAAACGGTTTTGTTGACTTCAGAGAAATCTCTCGTAAGAAGTTTACACCATTTTAAACGTTTTTAACACCTGTAGATGTAACGCGCACGTGAGATGAATCAAAAGAAGTTACTACCTTGATTTTTAATGTTTATACATCGAGGAAAAGCATTACTGTTATAAGCACCGGTGTGGGTAAAGAAAGCAATTTGCGTATTGCTAATAATGGGACGTGCAGAAGAGGTGGGAAAATAGCAAAAATAATTTTTACAAAAAAAAGAAGAAAAAATGAATGATTGCAAACACTGGAAAGTCGATAATGCTGAATTTACTAACATTTTCCGATGTAGTTACATCCGTCCAGCATGACGTCATCGGGATACCCATTCATAACGTCGGATAACCGTCCATGTCGTCGGATAACCGTTCATAGCCCGCTCAAAAGTCATAGTGGCATCCGTCGATGACGCCATCAATACAAGCATGAGTGGCGTCTTGATGCATCAACATCAGGGCACCAATAATTAATAACATGATCGGAACATAGACCAATTCAAAATACAATTCTAATTGGACTGCATTTTGCAATTTGGAACTATAAATCCTGCCCCGGTTTAAAAACAACGTATGTGCCATCAGTTTCCTTATGCACATAAGTGTTTTTTTCGGATGAGCCAGAATTTATAGTTCCAAATTGCAAAATGCAGTCCATTTATTTTCCAATGCAATGTATCAATGGATCACTAGACAAGGTCTGAACTAAAAGTTAACTTAGCATGTTTTCTCTTCAACATATTTCATAGAAATTGATTTACACATCGGGAAGCTCGGAAATAAAAGCCATGGGGAGACATTAACAAAGTCTAGTTAACACAGATCAAAAGGAAATTGGATCATTCAAATGACGTCATTTATATGTTTATCATTAAACCAATGTTGATTGAAAACACGTTTATCTGTTCAGGAGTTGATTTTCAGACTTCCCGTTGTAAGATTTGTTTTCCTTGTGAAATTTTGAAGAGAATACATGTTTCGTTGTGCTTTAATTCATACCTAGTCTAGAGGCCCATTCAATATTTACCAAACCTTTTACTTTTAAATGGCATTTGAAGGGCTTGGAGGACAAGACGCCTAAGTGCAGTTTTTGAAAAAATTGAGGTATTAATGGTTTTAAGTAAGACTAGTCTTGATACGTATACTGTGAAAAATTCGCTCCCAAATTCAAATTTTAAACCTTCAAAAAGTCAGTTTGAGCAATCTTTCCGCCATAAGGATCTTTGTAATTTTGAAACTTGAACAAGCTCGGACTGGCCAAAGGCCATCTGCCATTGGCAGATACGCCCCCTTGGCGCGCCAGAAACGCGCTCCTCCGACAGATAGCAAAATAAGAAGAGAAAAAAAATTACGACCGAGAATATATACGGAAAATTTCTTAAATGAACGGAAAAAGAGAGAGAGTTAGGAGCGAAGAGAGGTACTTTAACGCATAGTGGTGAACAGAGGTCCAAGAAGCGTAAACACTTTTCGGTAAAATTTTCACCTTTTTGTTGACATACAGGCGCTTTATCATCCCCATCCTTCATTCTCTATGTGTAACTCCCGTAGAAGCGATAGCCGGTTCGATTTTTAGAAATACGCACTCTTTATAGACCTCTAGAGAGACCTTTGAACATATTTCTTTCTTTTCAAAATGACTACCGATTTGGACAAATAGCATATCTCCGGCAAACTTAACCTTAATTTATTTCGAAATTCAAAAATAAGAGACATCTAAAGTGTAAACGCGATACAACTATTCTCGCAAGATGGATGTCCACATTGCATATGAAAAATGTAAGACGCGATGCCGTGAGTCGTGAACTCGCAATGCTCTACTCTAGTTTAAAGCAATGTTACAAATAAGACAAACGGAAACAAACACAACATGAAAATAGAGGGAGAGAAAGGATGCGCGGTAACGACGGCGCAGAGATACAACTATTCGTACTTGATGGACGTCCGTATTGCATCTGAAAAATTGAAGGCGCGATGACGCGCCAGTCCGACCCTGAACTTCAATCACTTATTTCTCGTTATAACAAGAACTGCACTCATGCTCCTTGTCCTGCAAGCCCCTCTTCTGATAATTAAATGAATAATTTAAGAATTATATGCCTCAACAGATAAAGTATCAACTTCTTATTTTTGTATTTTGCAAGTAGAATTCTCACCCTTATTTCTACGTCCCATGGTTACTGGTAGCTCTTTTCCGATGCGTCGTGTTCAACCTTTTCCTACTGATGAGCGGCTTCTGTGTTTGTGTCATCTTCTCGCCTATCAAACCAGCTTGCATGGAGTTCATATTCATTAAAATGCTAGAGTCAGGTGAGTGAAATTGCCGTATCATCAAAAACTATACTTTCGCGGACCGGTAAACTCCTAGGCTAACTATCAAAATTCCTAGACGACTGATTCTCGAAAACTAACTTCCTTTCCTGGGGGAGGTAACAATATTACTAACTTACACTCCTAGACAGACCACGCTTGTCAACGCCTACACAAAACCACGATTTACGGGGTATCCAAAAAGTCATTTTCCAAGTGATTAGAAAAAGATTGAGTTCTATGAAATTTTTGGGTTTATTTTATTGAAAAAATTTACCTCAGAACAATCTAAAGTACCAATATGGGGAGGGTACGAATATGCCAAAATATATGTAGCTTTGAGGGCCCAAAAAGGCAGCCAGCCTTCTAACAAGGAAAACACTGAAGAAATGCCACTGCCAGTCTTCAGATTCTAATATCAAACCAAGATGGCCAAGAATGTACATAAATGAGCGTCCTTCCGCAAAAAAGAATAAATTTATACAAAAACAAAGTCAAATACGTGTTTTGCAAATGTCTCACCAGTATTGATAATGAATAACTCTGTATAATTTGATTTCACAGGTAGGCTGCCCTTTTAAGCCCTAAAAGCTCCATGACCTAACCTCAAAAATAGTACTCTCCCCATATAGGTATACTCTAGAAAAGTCCACTAAAAACTGTCCGTACGTTGATATGTCTTTAATTGGTTTCTCTCAAATACCTACTTCAAGCGATGAAGGAATTTTCCGAAAAATATGAAAACCTATAGGTCATTTACCTTCAAATATAGAGTGATCGTGGAACGTTAACTGCCGTTCCCCTTAATTATATCAAATATCACAACCTTCCTTCCCCTGAACGTGCGTGGGAGATACTCAACTTCCGTAGTACCCTCCTCGTGGCCACAACCTTGCCTTACTGACGCCACAGAATTCTGCGAGTAATCAAGCTTGTTTGATCTTTTTACTTTTATGGCTAATCCTGGAGTTACGCAAGGTCCTTGTTGCAACTCTGCTTTGATATTAATCCGTCTCAGTTGAATATGAAGGATGTCTTTCGGAATCAAATCTTGTCCGGCAACAATGCACCAGCTGTTAATTGAGATGCGTTAATTGAAGCGTATAAGCTGTTGCTTTGCTGAAAGTTTATTGCTCTTGAAGAACGAAAACTCAAGGAAAACTGTCCCAAGGCTTTACCACGGCGTGCTCTTGAATTTTACGTTTCGTGTGATCGAAAGCTTGTTAATAGTTATTAGGGGGGTTGTCTTTGCTCACACGTGTACGTGAAAGCTTATACATCGAAAATAAAAACTGTAACAGTTCATAAATTAATCATTATACAGGGTGACTCAAAGTCGTTGAACACCTCTGTAACGTTTAAATTAATTCAGATGCTTGATCAGGCTCCTAATTCAGACTAGGTTCTTGCTTATTCAACAGAGACGGCGTAGCGCCTTCAAAATATCTGTAGGCAACAAACGTGTCACGCGCGTAATATGTCCCTATCTTAATCAATTGAAGGCAATTTCAATGCTTTTGAAACCATGCGCAAATCTGGTGGTTTAATTTTCAGCGTAATACTTTATTGATCATATTTAAAGCTGATCTGCAAATAATCAAGCTATGCACATACCACACTGGAAAAAAAGACACATAGGATCTAGAGTTGCAGACTCTTGAAAACATTGACAAGAAAAAATACTCTTGAAAACATTGACAAGAAAAAATACTCTTGATTCAATCGGATTTTTTCTTGAATCAAAACGAAATCCGCTTAAATTAAGAGGCTTGGTTCTTGATTTAAGCTAGATTCTGATTGAATCAAGAGTACTTTTTCTTGTCGATGTTTTTAAGAGTCTGGACTCTAGATAATGTGTTTTTTTTCCAGTGCATTAAGACGATGATCTTCCGGTTATTTCTGAATAATTTTTTTGTAAATAAATTCCAAAACGATTGAAGGAATGGTAACCCTCGAGCTCAGGGGCATGAAAGTTGACAATTGTCTGACGGCATAATGTACTGCATGCACATGTACATGCACTGAGAAAAACTTTTCACGTAATCATTCGCGGACGAGAATTCTTGTTGAGTCAATTTGAAATCTCTTTGAAGTAACAGAAAGTTTCTTAGAAATAATAGAAATACCTTCTGAAACAAGGAAATTCCTTTTAGACTCGACGAAAAATCTTGTACGGGAACTATCAACTGGATTTTCTACCGATCCAACAGACAATTTTTCTCCGTGTCAGTGTGACGAGCATAGTAGCAATACCTGGATGACATCAGACTAACTCTCTACTGCTTCAGGAAACAAATTCATCTGTTTAGTATGGTGTCTGCATTGTTAAAAATAGTAATATTGTTGGCCAAAGTGTGTAACCCCGTATCACCGTTTGTGACGTTGCAGACTTCCTGTCATACTTTATTTTTTCTTTGGAAAACTAGTCAGAGTATTTTTTTAAAAACCTCCTTGACTTCTCCTCTTTGTTAGCATAATATTTTGTAAGAATTTCAAGCTACAGAATTGGCTTGTTCCTCTTCGAGAAATAAAAACAAAGCAGAGATTTTGAAACACCGCAGCGAAAATAAGTGCTTTTGCACTTTGGACATCAATATTCTATTCTATGGTTCAAGATAAGGTAAGATAAACAATTCTCCGAAAAAAAATTTGGTAGCATGTTACAGTGCTACGATTTAGTGAAAATAACCAGAATTATAGTAGTATTCACCAGAACTCTGATTACCTACCATAATATGGTAGATGCTACCATAGTCTGGTGTTTATTACTATACTCGGATCACTGTGTCAAAGTATGGTCAAATCTACCATATTTTTTTTTCATTGTGGACTAGGTTTCAATTAATTTGACTAAAGTTGACTATGACTCAAAATTACTTAAATTGTTTTTGAACTAAAGTCTTTTTTGACTATAACTACGAGTTCGTTGACTTGACATAGCGTAATCGAGAATTGAATTAAAATGATATGTAACCTGACTCTTTTAAACTGTTGATAAAAATTGAAAAATCCGTGTCCTTTTCCAGTCATATACTCATACTTCTGGCTCAAAATAAACCGGAAATACGTGGAGCTTTGCCGGCAAACGGGCATTAAGTACGTGCCGTTCTTGCGGCATTTCCAAAGCAGAGCCGAGTTCCTATCCCAGGAGGTCACATACCGTCGTCGTCGCCTGCGCACCCTCGGCAACCGGGTACCTCCGCCACCCTCCAACCGCCCGCCACCCCCTTGCGTCTCCGTCGACGACCTGGACTGCTCCTCCGACAGCGACTACAGTCTCTCGAGCCTCAGGGACTCGGAGATGACCAAGGGTAGCCGCTCGCTGGATTCCCTCTTCACGAAAGCGACGATGGATTGGTTCATCAAAGAAGCTCTCGTTCATCAGAGCGTCGAGAAGGACGACGCCCGGTACGAGGAAGGACTTGCCAAACGGGCCGCTACGTTCCTGCAAAGAACGCTCGGGCAGAAACCTCGTTCAGCTCGCAGTGACGAGTTCGAGGTCATCACGAACCTCTTACCACTGCACACGACCCAGCGTTACGACCCTACGCAGGACGAGGAGACCCCGGTTGTCAAGGAAACCAGAGCTGTTGGGAACAGAGAGGTATGCTCGAGGGAGTCAAAGTCAACTTGCGTCGAAGAGGAAATCCCACTTACCGCGGATGGGAAAACTTTAGATACGTGCTTCGATGACTCAAACTCGAATATAGAAAACGCCGTTGAGGAAGAGATACCAAGTATGGAAACCGAGAGTCACTGGTGCGAAAATGGATTCGAGATCGGGCATGGAAAAAATCCGTTTGTCGAGGAGGAAGTTTTCAGACCTGTATTCGGGGCTTGTAACAGTGTAGGATTAGAGACCACTTTGCGAAGTGGGAAAGACGGTTCGGATGAATTTGATTGCTCGGATGACGAGAGTTTATGTCCGACGGGAAAATTTTTCGGCTCTCCCGCGTGTCTTCGGCAAAAAGTGCCACTATTTGATACGGAAAAGGATAATTCTGATCCAGATGAGGAGTCGCACAAGTGCTCAGAAATGGAGCGCTCCAAGTACCTCGTTGATCGAAATTCAGCTTCTGATACGACAGAATGTGGCCAGTTACAATCGCTTGTAACAAGAAACACTGACGATGGGAATGAATCCAGTTGTGCGCTGATGAAAAATGAGGCGCTGAGGGTAAATCAGGACCCTCCTTCTGACAAGGGACCAGCAGGCAGTCATTCCCAGTCGAGAGAAGACGAGATTGATGGTCAACTCGTGGCTAAATTAGTCATCGAGTCGTCAGTTGGTGCGATGCATGGTGCAAATCACTCAAGCATCGGGAGTTTCACTGAGGCTGGATCAGAGACAAAGTCATGTGATTCTTCCATCAGTCCTGATATATTGACTCTTGATCGTATCAAGGCAGTTGTCAACGAAGCACAGATAAATCATGAATGTCTGAACGCCAATGATTTGCCAGCAGACAAACGAGACTTATTAAATGATGAGAATCGCCTCACTAACCCATTGAATGAGTCATCAGAGGTAAGAAAAATAGAACCTCTTGAATATCGTTCGGAGAGTTCATCGGTGCCTTCTCATGAGAAGTCGTCATCCGATGATAAAATAAAGTGTCAAGATGATCGGTGGATTCGATGCACCAATGAATTATCCTCAGCCAGTCCGACCCAGTCGCTTTCATCAGGGACCCTCACGGCTGACGAATCAAAAAACATGGGAGCAGATGAGTCCTTTGAGGATGGCTCGTTCAACAGTACATCCAACGACGAGCAACTAGCTGCTGAGAGAACATCTGGTGAGAACTGGGAATCGAAGTTCGAGCAAAATGTTTCGAGAGAGGGAGTCGTGCTCGAGACAATAATGTGGCGTGGGAATGCGTCGTCGTTCGATTGTGCCACCAGTTCAACTTCATCTGTTTTTTCGCAAGGAATGACACAAACTGTATTGATGCAAATAATGGGAGAACATGTTCAGTCTGAGGAGCAGATTGGGTCTCTTGATCGTTCAGATTCTGATGGAAGTGCCGGATACCAAGTATCGGTTATTGACTTAACCAATTGTTCCGATTGTAACTCTATCAATAACATGGGAATCAAACATCGAGCTCGAAAATTCTTACCCAATACGAGGACCTTAGAACAAAGTGTGCGCTGCGACAGTAAATCGACTTCTAGAAGTATGAATTTTTCCGAGGAGTCATCAATGGACCATTCTGACTCGCTAGATCAGACTGGTGAAAAGCGCCTCGAAAGCCCTCAGGTCGAACTAGATAAAAAAATTGAGTCTTGTAGGTGTTGCTTGAACTGTGAACATGATGAATCCGTATTTTTCTCGACGGGATCACGAACAAACTCATCTACGAATCAAAGCATTGAATATACTCATCATGGTGCAGACTTCTCTGAGTATACCAGCCTTGCCTCTGAGGAAAGCGCCGACATCTGTCCTTCAAGGTTGTATTCTAGTGGCAAAAATTCTCCCGAAAAATTCAGTATTGATGAGAGTTTTGAAAGCCATACGAATTCAGGTAGAGACGAAGAAACTTCGATTGACAGTGCCACTCCCGAAATCCCATATATTTGTCGGAATGAAACTTCTGGTCGAACGTCAACAGAACAATCTAATAAATCTGTTCTCATCGAGAAATCCTCTACGAGTAGCCAAGCCAACATTATCGATCAATCTGTGGAGGAGTATGCCAAGCTGCCGTGTGGGTTGATCAATAACATATCCGTCACGGAAGAGACGGTAAGCGTATTGAGCGATGTATCGGCAATGGTGAGAACATCAGGATCAACAGACGTGATTAAAAAGTCCAATTCTGAAGTTGAAAAAGGCTCGATGGTTGAACTTAATCATTCAAATGCTAATGAAAATGTCTACGACTGCACAACATCAATCTTGGAATCGTATGATGTCCCTGAATTGACTCCTGAAACTCTTACCAAAATAAATTCAAATGGCACAGTCAATCAACTTATCTGCACCTCTACTTCCGCTACTTCAATTCCTAACAAGACATTTTTTGAGACGATCCGAACTACCCACTCCACTACACCCGTCGAAAAATGTCCCGAGGTTCAAGATGACAATATTCGTACTGTGGAGTTCGTGCGTGAAAGTGATCCAGTTGAAAATCGTCGGGTACTCAATCCTCAAAGTAGTAACTCAAAATCACAGAATTTTGTTTGCTCTTCGTCCCTTGTGGAGCCACTACTAACCAAGACCTCTTCTCCTCCTCCTCACTGTCTCTCCGATAAAAATGTTTCTCAGGATGATAATATTTTGGATCTGAACGCGAGCCCTCTAACTTGCCCATTGCAATCTAGATCACCTGATTCCGCCGCGGTGGCTGCTAAATGCAACTCTACGGCTGATCCTCAATCGGGGCTTCACTCATGCCATTCAATTAATACATTGAAGGAAATTGTCACTTCTGGGGCAGATTCAAAAACTAACATAGCGCCAGACACGGAGGTTTTGAGAATTTTGAGAAAGAGCCCTGAAAAGAGTTCCCTAACCGATATGAGGGCCTCTCAAATTGAGCTTAATGGCGAGGGAAGCCATTTTCAAAAATTAATAAACAAATTATCTGCAACAGCTTGCGATAGAGAGGATTCAACCGAACCCCCTGTAATAACGCAGCAGTTTAAATCACAAGTTCTTGCTGATCGAATTCAGCATCCTCCTGAGTTTTCGGTTTCTATAAAAGACTCTGTGGAGAGCCAAAGCCTAGAGCCTGTATACTGTTTTAAAAAACAACATTTACAGTCTGAAAAAAAATCATCAGAGGGAAATCATCAATCTTCATCGCACAATGCACCTTACATTACAACCGTCGGTGCTTCCTTCATCGAAAATTTTCCAAGCATCAATAGTGCAGACTCTTTGAAGAATAAAACAATTCAAAATTCAGTTGAAAAAGTAACCAATGGGAACGATCCAGTTCCTGTAACTCAAATGTCTGATTGTCTCTTGAGTGCAAAGGAAGCATCGACCAATAAGACTGAACTAAAAGACGTAGAGTTGAAAGTAAGGCAAAACTTAAGTGATGATGAAAGCTTGCTCCAAGGAACGCTGATTTCTATTCATGGAGCACTTGCAGATCGCTTGATATCCGAAAAGGTGTTTCAAGATGCTGCGGCCTCCGATATGGAAACCCCGGAATCAAACGACGAGATAACTCCGGAAAAAGGAATCACAGGCACGGACGCTTGCGTCACGAATAAATCATCAACCGAAATACCTCCGATGTTCGTCAGAAAAACTTCCACGATACTCATCAATGGCCAGGGCTCGGAAAAAAACGCGCCCACCAATGGCTCAGCGTTTGCAGAGAGTCCTCTTGTAACTTCTCGACCAGGAAGGGTGTATGAGGAACGAGAGAGGCTGGTCTCAGGAGGGTGTTTATCAAGTGATAATCCTTCAACGGTAATAACAAAATCAAAGGTAAATTTCGTTATGAGTTTCGAAAATAAGCCGGGAAGTCCACCGCCAGTAGCAGCTCCTCCGCCTGGCGTATTTCAAAGACTGATGGCGAAGTTTTCATCACCCCCCGGACCTCCGATCGTCAAGGAAACTCTACGAAAATTCAACGCTATGTCGGCCGCTAATTCACCCCCGACCACTAATCAAAGTCAAAGAAGGAGTTCGGTTGAAAGTAAAGAATGGGCTTCGAATGATTCGTTAAGAGGAGATGGAGCCAGAAGACCCAGCAAGATATCTGAAAAAGCCTCATTATTCGACAAACTTGCGATCGAGAGCTGCTCCTCGGGTAAAAGCCCCAAAATATCGCCTAGAGGCTCTAGAAACAGCATTACAAGCAATGCGGTTTTAAAGTCCATTAAAAGTTTAGAAAAATCCTCAACGATTGGTAGAGTTGTCACGGTTGAAAGGAAGTTCCCTGAAAACATTCCCTCCTCTGAGGTGTTTAGAAGCGCAAGGGCCAAGTTCTCCTCTCAACCAGTTGGTTCATCGAGGTCGAATGCTAGTAGCATGACTTCCGAGATAAAATGCAACCCTAGCGTCAATGGGAATTCGAAAGATAGACAAACGGATGGGATGAGCTTTTCAACGCCAACTTGGGAAATCTCAGCAAGTTTATCGGAGACTGGAGAATCAACCCGCCAAACTAACATACTGTTAAAATCTGACGCGGCAATTAATGATGTATTTGAGAAGGACATGAGTTGTACAAATACTAGAATTAATTCTCATTCGAGCGAATGCTCGAATGTGAAGATTATTGACTGTCAGGAAAATAATCTGGGAGCTGAATCGAAATCAAACGACTCTTGTAGCACAGCTCAAAAAAAGTTTCAGGTGTCCCCGGCGGTCTCAACTGTAATTAAAGGGTCCAGTGGATTTATCGACTCCGGCGGACAAAAAGCAGAGGCCTTACATTCTACTGGAAGTAGCCGAGAAGTAGAAAGCGCCCCGAAGGAGACTGATGAAACGTCACAGCCACAAAATTTGCAGAGCACCTCGAGAGAAGAAGTAAAACACGACACCACTACTTCAAGTAAAATTCACGAAAGGGACGGCCTCTAGC